TGGTGAAGAGACCCAGATTTAAACCTAGTGGGAGTTTCCCCCCACAGAGGGACAAAAGGACCCCCTGATGATCCTCTAATTGCCTGAGCCAAGGTTTGAAACTGGGTGTGGGTCCCAATCAGCCAGAGTTTCAGGTGAGCACATTGTGAAACCTGGCCCCACCTTATCAAGGCGTCTGGGGAGGGAACTCAAAACTGGATTATAGATGGCAGACAGTTGGTGTCGTAAACCACCGCCTCTGTTCAAAGATCTTTGAACAGAGGTGTTTTAAATCTGGGACTCCCCACCATTTGAGTTAGAACTGAAGAAGCTTCTCGGATGAGAGGTGAAACGTCTTCAAGCAACTTAAAGAAGTCCAGACGCTTTTCTTTGCAAGCTCCTTTGAATACATAATAAGGCACCTCTGCTCATACAAATAGGAATATGCAAGTGACAGTGAAAAAACACATTCCATAGTTTCCATAAGTTAGGGAACAACACCGGAAAGTGCTGTCATTATTTCTATACGTGACTTTTTGCAATTTCTTTTTTTTTACAGTTTGAAAAGGCAGCAGAAGCCTTATTATAATAATGAGAACAAAGTGTGGAGACTCACTCTGTTGAGTAGGCAGCACTCCAGCAAGCAGCTGATAGGACACATTGAAACTCAGATAATCTGCCTGATCAATCCAGGACTCCAAACTAACTGGCCTGTCTGCTTGCCATGTTAACTCATTAAGAACTATTTCAGGTGACCTTGCAAAGACCTGCAAAACAACAAAAACAAAAACAAACCGAAAAGACAAAAACATGATTATTGTCTGATTAGAATATACACGTTGATGAGTGAGACAATGCACTACCTTTGTTACTTTGCAAAGCAAGATGAGAGCAAGTGCAGTTACAGGGATGGTGACTTATACAAGTCTACCTCCAAGTAAGTAAGGTGTACATATTCTATGTGTAGGTGTGTTCTTACAGCCAGGAGGAAGTCCGAATGGTTAATGAAGTATAATCCCCCAATGACAAGCAGCACTGCCACAACAATATTCTTCTTCTTCGAATGAATCCGCATTTCCTATCACAAACACATACGTGATATTCCATCCATTATGCTGGTGTGTGACGCAGTACAACTGTAAATAATTCAGCCAATAGTTAATGATTCAGAAGGCTTGGACACAGGTTACACGGAACTGAGTGTGTTGTTGTAACTTAGAGTCTCATATATACACTTTGTATGTATCAGATACAGTTTACTGAACACTGTTGCTCTGCTGTAAATAACCCTGTGCCTTAAGCTGCAAAAGCCCTTTAACATATTCTATAGAGATGCACATTGAGAACCACTTACAGTTCAGGACAAGAAACAAAATTGTCCCATTCAGTACATTTCTCATTTTATCTCATCTTTTACCAGTGCTGGAACTTGGTGAAAGTTTTCTGTGGGGGGTATGTGAAACAGTGATGACACAGAGTGCTGACTGACCCTGACAAATTTTCTTTCTAATGTTAATGTTTTTTAAGATATTAATTGTCAGTGGTCTAGTTCTACTTGATCACAGTAAAAACACAGTTCAGTTTGGCTACAGGTATTTAGTACTAGAATGTGGCACAAAAGGATGAACACCACTCCTCCAGCAGATAAGTGTTGATTTGGCATTTTGGTGATGGTGAAGGAAACAGCTGTTAAACACTGTAAGAAATCCCATTTGGGTTGAGATCCGGTGACTGAAGGCCACAGCATAAAGCCCTTTATTTTTTCAGTCAACCCACTCAGTGAAATGTGACTATAACTAATTGTTTTAGCTACAGACAATTTATTTGTACTGATGTATTTAAATGCAAAAACCTCATTTCAAACACAAGCCCGCTGAGCAATCTGTTAAAGTTTGAGACAAACTCATGTGGCATGCTCAGCCTTTGTGGTACTGTATCCTAACTACCCAAATCTACTCGAGCAGAAAAATCTGCAGCAACTGTTTATTATTTATTCAGCTTCCCCCCTTTAATTTGTCCCTTGTCTGAATATTTCCTACAGCCATTACAGTGCAGTCTCCCTCAGACGGAGTTTCTGCCAGTGTCGACTGTTACTGTAACCTTTTTTCTTCTTGTTTGGTTACATTGTTTCCGAGTTCTAAACGGAGGAAAGGGCAGAGAGGTTACAGGGAAGCAGTAAGTAAACACTGTAGATGATAAGCCTGAGGTTTATAGCCAGGCTGCCCTAGTCTTGTTTTTTTTAAACGCACTGAGAAGTAAGGACAAGTAAGGAGATATGAAAAGCGTTGCGTAGTCTCATGTCAGACTAATCCTTAGAGCCAGGCTAGAGGACAAGCTTTACTTAGATTTTTAAAATGCCTTTGTTTTGTCAACGAGTACAGGGTCACTTCATAGAAGATACCAATTATAGCCGAGGCCACCTCATCTATAATTAGTATGCGGTCTTCTCTTTGATTTTTGCAATGTAACGCTCGCTGAAACAAACGCTTCCCGAACAGAACGACGAAACCGCAGTTACCCAAACAATGACAGAGTATAGAGAGCTGTCCGTGTGTTTTAACTTAAACAGCTCTAATAATTTGAAGGTAACGCAAGAAAACTAGCCAGTCTTATGGGACGTTTTCAGATAGTGTCTACAAACAAGTGACTACCGTAGAAGATATTTCAAGTTAAGAAATCCGGAAGATTCTTTTCTTGCTACCGTCTCTGCGCGATCAGGCTTTAAAAAAGCCATATCAATAGGGTTTAGCAATTATTTCCAACCGTCGCTCATAACACAAACACAGCCGAAAAGTCTTGTGCCATGTATGAACCCACAGCTACGTAAATGAGAAGAGTCCAAATAAAGAGTTAGCAGAAGGTACAGTACATGAGCTAAACCAGGCATCCATCCATCCAGTCACTGAAAACAAAAAGCAGCTGCTGTGAGTCGGAACATAAACGATAAAGCTAATAAACTTGTGCCTGACCGGTATCTCCACTCACCTCCTTCCGCCGGTTGTCCTCAGCTCGATAGATAACAGTCAGTGAACGAGTTGCAGTCACGGCGTGGTAATACTTACAGTACAACGCACCGAAAGTCAGAAAAGGCACTCACGGAAATGAAAAATGATTCACCCCTTGGAACCCATGCATATAAACCAGTACTGCCGCATTCTGCACTCGTATTTCCACCTATAGTCCCCGACGCTCAACAGGCGACCTCAAGTAGCAGAGGCTGTACGCCAGCCAGGTGTGGCGTCACGGTCGGACGACAGCCAACCGCTTACGTACAAAGGCGGCCACATTCTTTGGAACTACACCAGGAAATTAAAGCAAACGCCCTGAGCTATTGTTAACACAAAAGCAAGACAGATACACAGGTTTCCTTTATTTTATAAGTTCTTGGTCATTTTTAAATTATTTTCTATTTCTCTTGCATTTGCTCATCAGTCAACTAACATTTTAAAAATCATATCAAACACAATCTAGCATCAAATAAACTACAATAATAAAGCAGCACACCGTGGGTAGGTAAGATAACATCATCACTGTGTGTGTTTGTAGGTAAACAGTATTTATCAGCTGCTTTTGGTGCATTGGGACTGATCCACAATAGTGGCCATAAGGCCAAACATAGCCTGAACTGGGCTTTAAAAAAATCCTCAGAGTTTACCATACAACTTTTTGGTAGTTTTCTCTTAAAAAGGGGGTAGTAACTGTCCGTTGCTTGTACTTTCCTGTTTTATTAGAATAACAATGCTTCATAAAGTTGGACCAGTTTTGAATGTGTTTACTCCTTCAACATGCTGTTAGGCCCAGGCGGTGTGACAAATAAATGAATTTGGAAAGATGTAGATCAAAGGGGAAAAGTCTATTTTTAATCTTTCTTTGAGGACAGTGTGTTCAGTACAGTGATAAGGATTGTGAGAAACTGTCTCAGAGCATCATCATCTTTTGGTTGCTGATTGAGAATCACTTTTATTCCCTCCTCCTCTTCCTGTCCGTCTTCGCTCACCCTCAGCCTGTCAGCTGTTGCATCCATTTCCTTTCTCACCAGTTGGTCTTCTTTACCCTCTGCTCCAGCTCCACTGTCAGCTGTGCTTTTTTTTACTCCTGCTTTCTGATTGGCTTCTCCAGTACATAGCAGCTCCCCCAGTATGAGCGTAGTGTTGGGTGCGTCCATGGAGTGGGAGCGCTGGGTGTGTGTGTACAGGTAGACCCTCCAGGGCAGCATATGCTGTGGCGTGAACGCCAGCGTCTGGATATTGACCAGCTGCATGGCAGCTTGGAGGCTTTGGGGAGAACAGTGAAGTACTGCTGGACACCGGACACATTCTTCTATCCACGCACAGTCAACCTCCTCTATTTTCTCAGCACCTTGTCACAACAAAACAAGAAGTCACAACGATAGCTTTTAAATGTGGAGAAACACTGTAAAAACTGTGGGTAAAAGACCTGCAACTGACAAATAGAGTCTATCTCATCTCATCATCATCTCATCTAAATGTCAAATGTTCATGAAACAAGAGAAATCATAAATTTTAAAATTATTTTATTTTCTAAATCTATGTGCTGGAGACCTTATTACTCACTCAGAGTCAAGAAAGAAAAAAAAAAAGAAGCTGTCTGACTCTGACATTTAAAGCCATCTGAAGCCGGAGGTTTTCTCTCACACACAATACTTGTGGTGAGGTCACTGCAGATGATCACCATATGATAAAAAGGTAAATGGATAATAATAAATGATAACCATTATTATTACAAGTTCATCATTGCTCATGCTGTAATGTACAAACAGTATTTAACTATAATTTTCAATAATGGTTTAAATATCCTGGCTATTTTCTCAAGAAACTAATTGTCATCTAAATGTACAGAAAACAAACAAACCACATTCATATTTGAAAGCTGTATCAATAAATTCATTCTTCTTACATGAGTAAAACAAGCATTTTCCATCATGAATCTATGCACTCATTATTCATACCTTTTTTTGCAGTTTTTATCCACTTTAAAGTTAATTGTGTTGTGTTTAGTGCTGACGTGGGACAGTTTTCCAATTTCATTGTACCATCATGCTAAGTATGACTGTGCAATGACAATAAAGAGTTATGATCTTTCATGTTATTCGATAACCCATACTGATGAACCAGAACGTTTTTGTTTGGTATAATTAGGTACAGTTAGGTATAATTAAGTGCTTTTACAGCCAAAAGTTTCAGTTTTGTTGTCTTATTTCCCTTTTAACTGAGGGCAGTGTTCTCATGGGAATATCTTAACTATCTGAGCTACAATACATCCTGACACATTCTAACATGCAGTGTAGGTTTCAGACCTTTATATATACACAGTTGTGAGCCTTTCAAACATTAATTTGCCACAGCTTGACACTAATCAAATCTAAAGTATATCAGATTTGTAATTGAGTATATACACATTACTTTGGCGGAATTGGTATATTCCACTGATGGAGATTTCACACTCTTGTTAAAGATTTTTAGGAGGCCTACATGCTCCTTTTAACCACATTTGCTATCGAATAAAGGGGAAGCTTTAGCTATGAATCTCTGACTTTAGTTTTCAATATAACCTTCCATTTCATTACCGCGTTCAGTATGCAAATCCTGTCGCTGCAGCCACAGGTGCTCAAAGTCCTCTGGGCTGACAGCTGGGGAGAGGGACAAACTGAGAGGGGCTGCGATGCTGGAAGCCAGGACATTAGTGGAGGAGTCTGAACACCGCATGGCATTGTCTGATTCTAGAGAGGACATACAGAGACAAAGTGAGAGGAAGAAGGGGAGGATGAGGTTAAAAAACAACCAAACAAAAATCAACAGGGCTTTCTGAGAGAAAGGAGTGGGAAGGTTTTAAGTATTCTAGTAACACAACATTCTCAGACTCTCTCTCTCTCACACACACACACACACACACACACACACACACACCACAATAAAGCATTTGCAATAACTGGCAATCACTCATTCACATCACTGTGGGGGAATTTTGGCCACTCCTTTTTGTAGGATTGTTTTAATTCCACCACCCTGCAGGGTTTTCCAGTATGAACAGCATGTTTAAGGTTATGCCAAAGCATCTCAATAGGATTAAAATCTAGACTTTGACTAGGTCTCTCCAAATCCTTCATTGTTTGTGTTTTTTTGTAGGGGTTTTTAGAGCCATTCAGGAGGTGCTCAAGTGCACTTGGGTTATGCAGGTTTTGGGATAAGTGGGTTACGTGCATATACGAATTTCTGGACTTTTGGCTTGCTTCCTGGACCACTTCAGGGCTTCATGGTTCCATCAGTTATAACTTCATTTAAAAAAAACAAAAAACAAAAGGTATAACACGTTATCCAAGTCTCATTAGCCTACAGAATATTTTCCCCAAAGCTAAAAAAATAAATAAATAAATTGTTTGTTTGTTTGTTTTTTTTTAAAAAAAAGCAGCTCATCATACAACAATAACGACAGGTGAGGGTTTTCTCTGTATGCGTTGTATTATTGTAGGGTGTAGCTAAGCCTTACTGATCTTGGCTGAAGACCCCGTGCTGTAAGTGTAAAAGGGTCAAGGCGATGAGGGAAAGTAACAAAAAGTGTCCGGGTCGGAAAAAGGAGACAAGGAGGCAAGGAGGCAAAAGAGACGGACAAGCCGCTATCACCATTTAAGGAAACAAACAAAACTCAAGCATTGATCAATAAATTAAAAAGTAAGTCCAAAAAAAAATAAAAA